ATCCAACGTGAATGGAGTAGTTGAATCATGAGCAGATGATCGCGGGATAGAAGATACCTCGGGAGGACTAATTGCCATGCCTACAATTTACCCATAAAGTGAATATAAACATTCATTAGTACCAGCATATCACCTCAAAAAAACTGCCCAACATATTATACATTTAGCTTACCAACTCCTTCGGCATTGCGTTCTAATCTTGAGCAACTCGTTGAATGTCTAGTGCCACTTTGCATTTTCTTGACAAAGATTCTGCCCGACTGGATTCAGAAGACATGAAGGTAGTAAGACATCCAAAACAGCAAAGTGTGGTCTAAGAAGGAGCAGAAAAAGAAAAAGAATAAGCATGTGACTATGTGAGGTTGCTCAAATCTATAATCCAAATAAAAGCCAATCACAATTGTTGACTTTTGAGTTCCTTATATACTATAGCTGTATCACCTATGCTGGCACCAAAAAAATACCAGATGATCAATGTTTGCATACGTGAGAGATTCTCCATTGTCCATTCTGTTATCTAAGTTATAGTCATGGCTTTCCATTCCATTGTATATATGATTACATCCTAAATTTTTCTACTTCTACCCTTTTCCTGACCGGATTTTTCATTATAAAAGCATTAAAATTTTGCTTATCAAAAAGAAAAGAGAGAGAGAAGAAAAGATTTTCCTTGTGCTTAGAGAACACTTTCCATCAATCAAACTTTACTTATTTCATACATATTTTCAAAGTTCATTATTTATCAAAGTTTTTTTGATAGAAAACAAGAACGATTGCTAGAATTCATCCAATACCCCTAATTTGACAAAGCTCACTGGGGAATTTCAAAGAGATTCTGTAGGGATAACACCTCAAAGGATTACCAATTTTTTAATTGTTTACCAAAGTGAATTATTTAAAAACAAGCAAAGGATTTCAGTTAATCCGTGCATGCATAACACCTCAACACGGGTCTCGCAAGTATATGAAAACTGGGAAAACCCAAACTGGTGGGCTGGCCGGCTAACCTTGTAAAATAGGGCTGAACCCAATTAGATATGGCTCCAATTGAACTAAGCTCGACAATGACTAATCAAGAAGCCCTGATCCGGACTCCATCAAAAGGTTTTCATTTTTCTTCGATTTTAGTATTTTTTTAGTTCATCAGTAGGTTGTTTGATAGAAGTTGTGAAGCACCAAGGCATAATCCAAGAAAGTTCGACAAAGCAAATCATCAAGCAAAGGATACCAGAAGAGCTGCAGTGAAAATTACCAAGACACCAACTTTAACATTAGAGCAGAGGCAGACATACCAGTAACCAGATGCGATGGCGATGGCGATGGCGATGGAGTCTCACAGATGCGGCGAGCAACGGTGTCGGCGACGAACGAGAGACTGAGAGTAACGGAGTGAGGGTGTAGAACTAAATCAGTCAGAGTCAGTGGTTGCCAGCTGGTAAAGTGAATTTTTTGGCGAGGCTTTCTTCGAACAGAGAAGAAAGTCGAACAGAGAAGGAAGAAAGTATTTTCTTCCTTTTTTTTTAGACATTTTTTCTTTTTAGTGCTTTTTACAATTATGTTATTACTTTTTTGCCATTATAGGATTTCATTATAAAGAAGGGTATATTGTAAATTCCATATAACTTATACTCATAACAGTCATTTTATAATTATAATAAATATATATTATTTAAATTATAAATATTTTATTTAAATAACTCCGGCTCGTCGAGCTACTCGACGAGCCTCGAGCCGGGAAAATGTGACTCGAAACTCGACTCGATTTTCATTCGAGTTACTCGAAACTTGGTCAACCCGAGTTCGAGCCGAGTTGTTGACCGAGCTCGCGAGTAGCTCGGCTCGCGTACATCCCTTTCAGTGCCTTGCTTAAGAAGGCATTAGGGTGCTCCTCTTGCATCAGAACTGTACCTATACCTTCCCCACTGGCATCTGCCTCTACTACAAAGGACTTTTTGAAATCTGGCAGCTTAAGAACAGGAGCTGAACACATCAATATCTTAAGTTGATCAAAAGAAGTCTGTGCTTGCATATTCCATTTGAAGTTATCCATTCTCAGTAATTCAGTAAGTGGTTTGCGAACAAGCCCATAATGCTTTATAAATCTTTTATAATAGCTTGTGAGTCCCAAAAAACCTCTCAATTCCTTAAAAGTCTGTGGTCTTGGCCATTGCAAGATGCTTTTGACCTTGGAATCATCCATAGTGACCTTTTGTTCAGTAATAGTATGTCCTAGGTAGTCCACTTTTGTCTGAGCAAAGACACACTTAGATTTCTTCACTACAGTTGATGGCTTCTCAGAATGTCAAATGCAGTTCTTAGGTGTTGAACATGGGCCTCCAATGTAGGACTATATACAAGAATATCATAAAAAAATCAGAACAAATTTCCTCAAGTAAGACTGAAATATCTGGTTCATTAATGATTGGAATGTGGCAGGAGCATTTGTGAGCCCAAAAGACATGACTAGAAACTCAAAGTGTCCACAGTGAGTTTGAAAGGCTGTCTTGAAGGTATCCTGAGATTTCACTCTGATCTAGTGATAGCCTGCTGTGAGATCCAACTTGGTCTTAAACACAACCCCTGTTAGTTCATCCAGTAGCTTATCCACATTGGGTATTGGGAACCTGTCCTTGACAGTTAATTCATTTAGCTTCCTGTAATCTATACAAATCTCCAAGTCCCTTCGTTTTTCTTGACTAGCAAAACAGGATAGGCAAAAAGACTATTACTGCACTTAACCATACCCTTCTGCAACATTTGAGTAACCTGCTTCTCAATTTCCTCCTTATGGCAATAGGGGTATCTATAAGGCTTCAATTTGAATGGCTATGTCCCTGGTTTGAGGGGTATTTCATAATCCACACTTCTATTGAGAAGTAAGGCATTTGGAAGTTGAAATAGTTGAAATACATCTTCATATTGTTGTAGTAGTTCAGCTATTTCTGAGGGTGTAGGTTCTGCTTTTTCTCCTTTATCCTGTGCTGAGCTTAATGACATGCACATCTGCTTCTTGTACTTTATGAATCTCCTCAAATCCTTTCCTCTGATTAGGTCCAGATCACAATCTTCTGCTCTCCCATGCAATTGAATCTCATTTCCTTCATGGTGTAAGGATATTTTGAGCTGATAGAAGTCAAATGTAATAGGACTAGAGCGTGTCATCCAGTCCACTCCCAATATTATGTCCCATCCCTCAAGTTCCATTACTTTAAGATTGAACCTGAAGTTGTATTGGTTAATCATCCAGTGCACATTAGGACAGATAGCATTACTAGTTATACAAGTTCCATTGCCCATGATAACAGAAAATGGCTGATCGACCCACTGATATCCAATGTCCATGCCAATGACTAGCTCACTGCTGATATAACTGTCTGAGCTCCCATTATCCACTAGAATTAACATTTCTTCCCCATCAAGGATACCCCACTAGTGTAATTGTTTTTTTTTAGTGCTTTAGATAATGCATGTAAGGACATCTCCATTGTCTGCCCAGGATTCCCTGTCTGTTCATCCGGTTCACGAGCTGCATCTTCAAAAGCAGAGTCATCCTCTTCTTCTAGGAACATGCAGTTTGCATTGCCTACCTTGCACTGATGGCCTATTCCATACCTTTCCCCACATTTAAAGCATAGACCATTAGCCTTCTATACTGCGTTTCCTGTGTTGAAGGTTTCTTTGAGTCCTTAAATTCTTCTTGAGAGTTCCTGAACTTGGAATGTCTGAAATTGCTACTGGTAGGCATCTTATATGAGTAACTCCCTGCAGTTGGGGTATTACTCCTAGTCATCCCAAACTTGTGCTCCCGCAGAGTTTTGGTACTATCCTTAGGACTCCTATGTTGTATTCTGATTGACTGTTCCTGCCACTGTGAAATCTCAAATGCTTCTGTTAAGGTAGCAGGTTTCAGCATCCTAACCATAGGTTTGATTTCCTCCTTTAATCCACTTATGAAATTGGAAACGAAATAGTTTTTATCCAGATTTCGATTCCTAGTCATCATCAGAGGTTTCAGTTCTTTGAATTTTTCCTGATATTCTCTCACACTACCTCCTTGCTACAACTTATTGAACTCTTCTATCACATCTCTGCAAGTACTATCACTGAATTGCCTGCACAGCAATTCACCAAATTCTTCCCAGCCTAGTTTAGGTTTCTCAATTTTTACTCATTGGAACCACCTGTCAGCTCTACCTTCTAAATATATCTCAATGATCTCAACTTTTTGTTCCTCAAGTTCAAAAGGTACTTATTGCATTTGTGCAGCCAATCCTTAGGATTCTCACCAGAAAATAACTGTAAATCAATTTTAGGAGGATTTGAAATTTGGAACTTACTCCAGTCCTTCTTGTAGGTTTTATGAATCTCCATTTTAGTTTGTAGCCTTTGGTGAGGTGGAGAAGTAGGTAGAATTGGTGTTTGATCCATGTTCATTTTTCCATCCTTTTCTGTCACCTTATATCTCCCTAGTGTCATCTTCATCAGTAGACTGTTAAACTTTTGTTCCAGAATTTGATTGAGATTCCGTTCCATTCCAGTGACCAGATCTTCCATCCTTTTGTTGCTTTCTTCGAGCTCCAGTTTCAATTCGGTCCTAATTTGTTGTTGTTTCAATTGAGCTGAATGCAGAGATTCTAGCAGTTCCTGGAGCTTGAACTCCTGCTTCTTCACTTGCTCCTCCAATGTTCAAAATCGAGTGCCTTTCGTCATTGATTTGCAGAGCGAACTCCAATGATCAATTGCTCTTGATACCAATTGTTAGGGACACAAGATAGTTGGCTAATCCAGTGCGGAAATTACGAGTGAGAAGGAAAGAGAGGGAAGAAAGAAAAGGCAGAAGAGAAAGAGGGACTGTGGGAAAAGAGAGAGAAAGAAAAGATTTGTTATTTCTTAAAAAATGTCGTTATTACAACTAATGGTGGTCCCACCTTTTATAACAACCTGACTTGATAGTTATTTTAACCGGCTTAATACTCACCACTAAACTACGCCGTTTTGCTTACAATTAATCCAAGGCCTGACAAATCCCCAAACAGCGGCAATTCAACTATTGGGTTAGGGTTCGCTCTTTTCTTGCAATTGGTCGTCACGCTTTTGGAGGATCCGCTAAATCGAACCCTAGCCCTAGAATTCAACCATGTCTTCCAAGCAAGGTACTCAATTTCTCTAATTAATGTTCACGCATCTCCTCCTTTTTTTTTTCAAAAAAAAATTCTTTCTGACTAAAAAGCCATCTCCTTTTTTTTTTCGACGTAACTTGTATAATCCGCTTTTATTAATCATTTTTTCCCCTTAGAAAAGATGCTGAAATTTGGGGGGTGTAATTTGTCCTGATTTATATGTTTGTTCAGGTGGAAAAGCAAAGCCTTTGAAGCAGCCAAAGGCTGAAAAGAAAGAATAGGGCGAGGTACTTTTACTGCAGTTTGATTCTGGTTGTTTATGTTCTAGTTCTTTTTCATTGTGCCTGGACATTTTAGTTCATCGATCTGATAATCAATGAATTAGAATTTGAACTTCTGGTTGATTTGTTCAGTAACCCTTTTGGTTGAACTATTTATGATTCTGATTGTAGAATTCAGTCTTGAATTTGAGCATTAGGAACTCTCAATGCCTATTTATGTTTTCTATTTGAGTTGTTGTAAATTTGAGTTGCCCGTGTACCAACTGCGTCTGTTTTTCTAGTCGTGTATGAAAACTCAATTGTGGTTGTTTCTGTTGATAAGTTAAAGGTGGGCAGGGTGAACTTTTTGTTCGATGTTTATTATATTTTCTTGTTTTGTATGGCTTACATTGCTGAGCTGAATTGAGAATTCAGCTATTGCGGACTCTCTTTTGGTTGCTGCAATAGTATTCTGGCGCAATTGGGGTGCTTGGTCTTTTAAATGGTCTTTCTCTGTGTCTTTATCGTTGTTCCTTCAGTTTGTTTAATCGTTTGTTTATTTGCAGGAAGACAAGGCTTATCTGCAAAAGAAGAAAGAGGAGGAAAAGGTGAATGATTTCCTATTGTCTGGGTTTCTGTTTGACAGTTTCAGTTGAGGTGATCATTTTTTCCCTGCTTTGTTATGATTGGCAGGCACTGAAGGAGCTCAAGGCAAAGGCGCAAAAAGGAGCTTTGGGAGGTTCTGGGCTCAAAAAAAGTAGTGGGAAGAAGTGAGGATTTAGAAACCTAATGCTAAACCTAAGCATCCTTGTGTTAGATTAGTTTATCATCAAGCATTTGTTCTATGGCTGGGAATGATTGTTATTTTTTTATGCCAACTTTCTTCCATGTAAAATTCAGTGAAATGTGCGAGACATTTGCACCCTTCGGAATACATAAGCCATGTTAGAATTTGCTTCTGTTTCCTTTAACATGGCTTTAATGTTTAATTTTATGTTGTTTCTGGTTTTATGTTTTCATACTGTATTGAACTTCACAGTTCATAGTTGCGTTTAATCTGATGGTAAAGGACCATTGCATTTACATCTCTGTAACTGATTCTTCCTGAAAGTCCAGCCATGAAGTAATTGTGACGAGGCTACTGACTAAAACCTTCACCACTATCATTGTCTGTGGGTGTCGATTCCTAAAGTTGATAGACAAGATATATCCCTGTTATTATTTGGGCTGTCTTGGCGGGTGCGTTTCTCACCGAGTCTGCTATCATTGGAGTGCTAGGATGGCATTGATGCTTTGCGCGAATGACATTCATAAAATGAGTTTGGAGAACGTTAGCTTTAGATCTGGTTGGAAATGATAGCTTTGGATCAGGTTGGAAACTGATAGGATAAATTGACACCTGAAGGCTGTGGCATAGCAGTTGTGTTTGCTTTTAACTAGAAGGATAAATAGACCAAAGTAGCTTTTAATTCTGGTTCCAATTGCTGTTGCAGCATATAATTCTACATCTGGAAAGAGAAATTAAGAACAAAGGCCATCTGGAAGGGAAGTATTTGGATGTTTGTTTTCCATTCTCCTTCCTTCCACTGTTAAGAGCTTTATCTCTCTTGTTCACCGAACGGTTGTGTTTGCTTTCTCTGGGTCGTGAATTTATTTTTGCAAAATTCATTCATGTAAAATTTCAGTCTTATGGAATCAACATTTAACGACATTGTAAACCTGAACCTGACGTACAATGTTCACGGATTCGCAAAAAGTTGATCGAGAAAGTTTGAACGGCACTAACGCTTGCCAAATTTCATCTTTGGCATGCCCATAGGTCAACAAGCAGAGCACATGCTATTAATTAGAAATGGCTGTAGTTTTTTTTTTTTTTAGCATTTTTTTTAGCCAAACTGTTTTGACATGGATATTACATTTTAACTAGACTTGCTATCTGGCTGTTCAGTAGCACATCCGTCTACCGTTGAAACGAGAGATCTAGTTTGAAGTGAAAAGTTCCCCATCATCCCATAATTTTGCAACCCCAAAACTTTGCAAGAGCACAATCTGCTAGTAGCTAGACCTGGTCATTTACGTCCTTCAGCTTCAATTCACCATGGGATACGTGCAAAATGTAACTACAACATCTCCCCCTTAAAAACACTTCAAACGAAATGCCTATCCTTTGCAAATAAGCCTATTCAAACATTAAAGCAATTCCCCCCTCAGAACACTTGAAATTATTGATCTTGTTTCTCTGGGTCGTCCTCTTTCTCTGGATCTTCGTCCTCCTCTTCTTTATTTTCTTCTTCTTCCTCTTCATCTTCTTCAGGAGGATCAGCTGGTAACGGGGGTGGCAACGGAGTTTTCATAGGGCTGAACTGGGGAAAGATGTCTGGCCTGCGTCCAGGCTTTGGCCGCTCCCATTCCTAACACAAATTTTAAATTAGATGAGAAATAAATTTCTACTAGTTGAAAGGCCTGCAGAATACATGTTTTAGAGAGAAAGGTTTGAAGTTCCATCTATAGAAACCAAATTTACTTGTGATCTACAGCCTAGTGGGCAGACACACATCTGATTCTGCGGATACATCAACTCATGCACAAGCCTGCACCAAGAAGTGGTGGGATGGATGAAAATGAGTGTTGAAAATATTTATGACGGGTTATTGACTATATAGACAGTACTAAATCCAGTAAAAAGAAAGAGATGACCAACATATGGATATAGGTTGTGTTATGAAATTTGGGATGCTTAATAGTTTGATTCTTTGATGGATTCATGGAAAAATGGCAGATACCCGATGCGTTTCAGCAACCAAACGACAAAAATTGCATCCAAGCAGCAACGTTGCTTAATACTGTATTGGTTTTCCTATAGAATAGATATACAAATGCACTTCTTTCCTTCGCAGTCAAGGTAAGAAATAAAAAGATTTTGTATTTCTTATGCAGAACCATTACACTGAAAACTAACACCAAGAGATGAATCGAGCAGCTGTTTCCAATGTATGCCAGTATTTGTTGCAGCTCCAAGAAGTCTGCACTTCAGTCTTTCGATGTAATGACAAGTAACCCCAATACACCAATGAGAACACACTGCAGATGTGGGGAAAAATAATAATAAAGTAGCAGTTATTCCATCAAATCAAACTACTTTTGGAGCAGTACCAAACCTGGAAGCAGTTCAAAATCTTGCTGCTATAGCTAATATGGAATTTGACATGATCATCTTTAAAATTCAAAGAGAGATGCATCAAGAATTTAATATATACACAATTTGAGAAGTACTGTGTAGAACAGGAAAATTTTTAGTCTCTGTCGAGCAATTTGATCCTTTCACTTATGATCAAGAACCAAACAATATGAGTAGTGCAGATCAAAAGTTCACAAACCTTGACAATGGGTTTCTCAGTCATAATGATGGTCAACCAACCAACATATTGTAAGAACCTGATTATGCACCACCCACAAAGGGAAAAAGAGAAGGTGATCAGCCCTTGTTTGGGCAATCATAATGAGAAAATACACATACATTCCTTTAACAATCAAGTATTAATCACTTGTAAGCCCAGAAGAAATGGTAATAACATCAAAAACAGGTATGAGCTCTAGTTCTCCTGGTTATGCTCATTTTCCTCAGCTCTACTTCTACTGTTGTCCTGCATTTTGTTAGCCCCCAAAAAGCACCAGGGTACCGTGTCACTGTATCTATGTTACAGTTTCCCTTGACTTCAAGACGTGCTTGTCATCTATTTATCTGTTTCTTTATTAATTTTCTTATGTGTTGAATTCTGGAGTTGTGGTAACGCTAGCATACCAAAGATTATATATCTGAGATACCAAAAGAGAATTTTCTGGGTTAATAGCGTGACAATCTTGAAAGAGGTATCAATCTGCTGCAGGAGAAGCTAAGGATAACAATCTCTAGGTAAAAGTTTATTATGCCTTCGATATTATTCCAGCCAGTTGAGAAACCTAAAAATTGTAATTTCAACAGCTTCTGTTCCATATTTGGCGCTGAAGATATCCAATTCTACTAGAGAACCAACTCCAGCTATCCAGCTAACACAAACGAACAAGACCAAAATCAACCAACCTAATAGGAATTAATCCTTAGTCATCTAATCCAACACCGTGGAAGCCAAATTTGCCATTTTCTCACCTCAGTACAAAGTTTCATGATATTCTATACTAGTTCCAAGCACCTCAGTCAATGACTTCACCAGGATCATCTGAGGAGTCAGTCTGATCCTCATCATCATCCTCAACCTGATGATGATCATTGTCTTCAGCTTCCTCATCCTCCCCTTCATTGATCACCACACCAAGGTCATCCTCATTAGCCTCATCCTCACCAGAATCCTCTCCATCATCTTCTCCAGCCTCGTCCTCATTGAAATTGTCTCCATCATTGTCCTCCTCCGAACCAGAATCATCTTCCTCCTCCTCCTCTGAAGCAGCATCCAAACCAGCATCATCATCATCTTGCCCCTCCTCTGCTTGCCCCTCCTCCTCCGAAGCAGCATCCAAACCAGCATCATCATCATCTTGCCCCTCCTCCTCTGAAGCAGCATCCAAACCAGCATCATCATCATCTTGCCCCTCCTCTGCTTGCCCCTCCTCCTCCGAAGCAGCATCCAAACCAGCATCATCATCATCTTGCCCCTCCTCTGCTTCCTCCTCCGAAGCAGCATCCAAACCAGCATCATCATCATCTTGCCCCTCCTCTGCTTGCCCCTCCTCTGAACCAGCATCCAAACCAGCATCATCATCATCTTGCCCCTCCTCTGAACCAGCATCCTTTTGGCCCTCAGAACCAGCATCATTTTCCTCCTGTTCTAAACCATTAGAAACCTTCAACTGGACATCATCTCCATCAAAATCTTTGGCATCGTCTTCTTGCTCGAAACCAGCCCCATCTTCCTCCTCATCCTCCCCAATCTCCTCCTGATAACCAGCATCATCATGTTCTAAACCATCATTGTCATTCTCAGAGTCATCATTGTGTTGTTTCACAATGGAAGCAATGTGCGTATTCAAAAAAACTTTGTCACCATCTAAATTAACTTCAAACTCAGCAGACAGTTGGTCTCGGATGGATTTTTTAGAGGCAATGGACCAATCACACTCTTGAAGGATCTCATTAAGCCTCTCCACAAGCCTTGGCCGGTCAATTCCAACAGGATTAATGTTCTGAACACTAAATGAATTACTTGAATCTGCAATGACTTTGTAGATAGATCCCTGCTCGGCAACATTGGATCCAAAAGTTACCCGGAACAATGGTATAACTTCTGCTGTTGAAATAGAGCAAGTTACCGCACGCTTTGACCATAAGCAGAAATAGTAAACACAATATACGTCCATGTTGTCCATTAACATCACCAAATTGTTCGCCTCTTCAACAATCAACTTCTTACAGTCCATCTCTACAGCAACTAACTGTTCTGCAAGTGGATTTATCGCTGCACCAACGTTCACATTCCATTCTCCACTCACCAAACCTGCTTGAAGTTGGTTTTGGAGAAGTAGATATTTGGAAATTTCTGTCTTGAAGTTATTCCAATCCATTCTAAAAAGTTCTGCGAATCACAAAAGTCATTAAAAAACCAAGTACTTTCGCAATTCCAATGGATAAGCAATTCTATAACTGTCCAGATCAGTCAAAAGCATACTCATAATAAAGGACAACTGAGGGACAATTGGAATAGAGAATTGATCGACAATAGGATAACATTTCAACTGATGGACAAATTAAAGTACTAACAAAATTGTTGAGCAGATTCAACTAAAAAATGTTACATGCAAAGAGAAAATAGGATAGTATTTCAAATTGAAATAACTTAAACATTCCAAATTCATTCCTCCATTATCAGTCAATTCTAAAGTTTGAACAAATCTCATACATCAGAATTATGCTTAACATGATTGCATTCATGAATTTCAAAAATTCAGCCGTAGAAATTACCAAAGTATTCCGAGAGTTGTGCAGTGAAGGCGAAGTTTGGGAGCTTTTAGACTCCAGG